GTAATATCTAGAATCTAGTGACAGACCTCAAATAATAAATAAATAAATAAAATTAACCTGCACTCTCTTTGTGAATGATGTCTTAAAATTGCATCGGAAGGGTCTAATTTTTTGAGGGAAGGATCTAGATGTTCAAGAACTCAATTTCCAAATTCTTTCTTTGAAAAGAATTGTCTATAATTACTTAGATGGATCCAAAGTTTAATAGAAGAAAAAAAAAATTTTCTTCTAAATACCAATTTTGCCCGAGGGAGTTGCTGTACAGTATGCTCCCGTGGAAACATGCTATAGGCGCTCTTGTTTACAATCATAAATTTTATTTTGCGCTCCTAGTAGATAAAATAAACTGGTTTATGGCACGTGCATTCAATCGAGGAGAAATTGGGGTCTTTTTTTTTCATGGAAATGGGGAAAAGACATATAATTATTGAGAAATTGGTATTCTAAGAGCACAGGATTCGCCGGTTTCTTTACCTACTTATTTTAGATATAGAGGATTATGTCAAGGACATTATTAAATTTTAATTTTTTTTAATAAATGCCAGCTTTAAAAGGATTTAAAAGGATGCGGTCTCTATGAGGCCTAGGCTTTATCAAAACAAAATAAAGCCTCACCTCAAACACTCGTCCGGAAAACACTTTGCACATCAGAATCTCTATGATGGCTCTAAAATCAATTTTCAACACCAACGATGCAATTTGAAGCTAAAAAAATAGTGTGGATGTTGCAGATCGTAACCACTTATTTTTTAGATGAAATGGACGGTCTAGACAATGTGTTATAATATGCACTTTTTTAGGAATTGAAATCCTAATGTTTTTTTTTTTACAACCATAAGAGTCAAGGCCAAGATGATCGATTTAAACATTTTTCAATGCCAGAACTGTACTTTGCAGTGGACTTTGAAGTGAGGCTTTACTTATTTTGATGAGGCTGCAGCCCCATCAACATATTTTCCTTTTTAAAAATTCTTGTTGACCATTTAAACGCACGAGTTCTTGCTGAGGCTCTATGCACGCAATAGGAAAAGGATAGTGCAAGCTTATTAACGATCAACTTAGGTATATGGGGGAACTTTTATCTCTCCACTACTAAAATCTAGAACACATATATGATGAGTCTCTATACCTCTCCCTCTATCCTCTCTAATTGGACTAAAATTTAAAGACATTAAAATCTATGAAAGGAATGCTTATTTTTAAACTAAAAGGTAAATAAACATGCGGAAATTTGTTATTATGCCCTCATCCTGAATCTTCGCCCAGAAAGCCCCTTGGGCATAAGAAATCTCCATGATGGTTCTAAACTCAATTTCCATCACCGACTATGAGATTTGAAGCTAAAACAATAGTACAGATCTTGTAGATCTGTAAATACTTATTTTTAGAGTTAAATGAATGGTCTGGACAATTTGTTACCGTATACACTTTTTGGTATTTGAAATCCCTTTTTTTCACAAACATATAATGGTCAAGGCTGATATGTTCGATTTGATGGTTTTCAGACGCCATAATTACAATTTTTAGTGAGTTTTGAGTTGAGGCTTTACTTATTTCGATATGACTGCCGCCCTATTAAACCATTTCCCATATAGGAAAACATTTAAATAGAGCCGAGGCTCAAAGCAATCAAATTAGAGTGCACCACAAAATTTTTACTAGAAGAGGTTGTTTTGATGCTCAAATATCCTCAAATAGATCATCTCGACATCAAGATGCATGGGCATGAGAAAAAATGGATTTCAAGTTTTGGAAATAGTGCATCTTGTAATTAATTTTTGGATCGTCAATTTTCAAGGTTTCATAAATTTGCTCGATCTACACTATTTTTGAGGCTTCAAATTTATAATTAGATATAAAAAAATATTTTAAGCCTATCACAAAGATTTTCAGTGTCGAAACCACAATTCTCGACACTATTTGAAGGTGCGCTATACTTTGATTGTTTAGAGCCTCAACTCTACCGTCCCCTAATATTAGTAGGTTACTTATTGTGTTCAAAGTGCAAAAAAGTCATTTGCTAACACATATTTAACCACTAGGCTTCATATCTAACGGCTAAAATTAAAGGTGACCTTTTTATTTCAATAGTACATGATAGTCTATTACAGTGTTTAAAAATATGGTGATCTGGGATCCAGGTCGTTGATCTAAATCCAAAATCAGTCAGGACCAAATCGGATTCAGAATGGTATGGATCCCAGCTCAATTTTCCCTTAAGACCTCCCTTTTATTTTATTTTTTTAATTTTCATTTTTAAGCTGGTCTGATTTTGTCTCTAGTCTCCCTAACTCCACATCCAATAAACCGTATATTTTATTTTTAAATTTATTTTATCTATTGAAAATAAAATTAAATATATAGTTAGCACTAAAAGTATGCATTTAATAGTGCACAACAACATGCTAGGATTTGCGTACAAGATACTAAATTAGTTGAAAAAAGACTTTTTGATGATGATAATTTTATTTATTTAGAATTTTTTTGAATAATTAATTGAGACAATTCGAGAATAATTCGATCATTGATCCAGTCAATCCAAACCAAGATCAAAAGTGGACAATCGGCCCCAACCGATCCGTTTTTTTTAAAACATTATTATATTATAATACTTCCTGTTTTAATTTGATTAAAAAAATACGCTTGTACGATGAGGAAAAGCGCAAAGGGGGACGGTGGTCAACGCCTCCCCCCACCACACTTCAATTCGCTCTTCCTCCCCTCCCTATTCAACGACATACCTCCTCCAGCAATTAGCTAGGTCAATCGCCATTTTTTTTCACTCTCTCTCTCTCTCCCCTTTTTCATCACTCTCTCTCTCCTATTACTTTTTCTCTCTACCCCTATTTTCATCATTTTCTCTCTCCTCTTTTTCATCCCTCTCCTTTGTTTTTTCTCTCTCCTTTTTTTCTCTCTCTCTATCTTATTTGATATTTCTTGCCTGTGGAATGGACTCTTTCTCTCTCTGTTCGCTTTACTCATTTTCAACGAACTTTCACATCGCTTTACTGTCTTCATTATTTTGCGAGATTTTTGGTTCTATTTTTGCACTCTCTCTCTCCTCTTTCTCTCTCTAGATTAGGTTTTTAATGAAAGAACAATTTTTGGTTCTGGCGACGTTATCCGCACGCCTATTGCAGCGTCGTACCTAGTCACCACCCGTCGGTGCCTATTGTACCCGCCCACCAACCGCATCAAAATATACAACCTTAATGCCCAAAATGCCCTTATTCCTTTCCGATATATGTCCATATTAACCTTCTCTCTCATCGCAAGGTGAACTAACCCCTTGGGTTATAATTCAAGAAGGCTTGTCTACCCTTTCCCTCGGGGTCTTTTCGTCACTTTCGGTTTCATGTTTCAAACATATCCATGATGACTTCAATATTTATTTATTTTTTTAAAAAATAACCTTTTACTCTTTTTTTGAATTTTCTGTTTCTATTAGTCAATTTGTTTCACCTAAAATCTCTTGGGTCCTCTCAAATTTAAAATTTTTTGTTTTTTTAATAAATTTGATTTTTTTGTTTTACAAAATGCCAAACCCATACATAAATTTTTTTTGGGACTTGTTATATAAATTTTATTGATAATAATAATTATTATAATTAATTAATAGTTACAATAGTAACAATAAAAATATATTAGTTGTTAAATATTTTATCTCTTAAAGGTATTTTGATAAATATTTTAATAAATAAATAATAATAATAATCTATTAATAATAGTAACAAATATCTTGATTAATCATTTTTCAAGTTAAAATGATATTGATGTAATTGTAAAATAGGTCATAATATTAAAAAAAAATCATTTTCTTTCCATGTCTAAATTTATAGAGTGGGATGCACGGAGGTAAGATTGATTTTCGGCGAAAGAAAAAGAAAAGAGAGCATTTTATAAAATAAAAAGATCAAATTTATATATATATAAAAAAAAAAACACAATCAGAGGGTTAACAGTCCCATAATTTTAATTTTGAGAGGTAGAAAGGGTTTTGACGAAACCAAAAGACTAATAGAAATAAAATTTTTAGGGAGGGGGTTAAATGTTATTTTCCCCTTTTTTTTTTTTTTTTAACTGTTTGGAGTATATTATACATTTAAATCAACACTTATACTTTAGGAAAAAAGACGTATACCCTCCTCCTCTTCAAAAATTATTATCCCAAAAAATAAAATTCTTAAATTTTTTTTATTTTTTATGATCGAACAAAATCATCCAAAAAGTTGCTCATGAAGTTCTAGAATGTCAAGATCGAATGCATGAACTTTTAATAAACAACTTTTAATAAAATTATAAAGATTGAATAGAGGGTTATGGAAGCATGAACTCTTTAATAAACACAAGTAAGAAAAAACCCAAATTTATCCACCATTTTCTCATGCATGTCTAAACATTGACAAAAAAATTTGGAATGGTGACCATATATTGGCAAGAGATTCTTTTTAAAATGAAGAGCGCACAACATTTTCAAAAGGAAAAAGTTTATATAAAGATGCAACCTTATAATGTAGAACTATGGATGCACCTAAAAACTCCATAGAAAAAGGTAGTTTTAATGTTGAAAAACCTCTTGATTGATCATCTCGACATCGAGATGTATAACCATAGAAAATAAAAAGATTTTAAGATTTAGAAATAATGCATTTTATAACATACACTGTCTAGTTTCAAAATTTTTATGTTTATAGATCTACTTAATTTTAACTCTTATTTTTAAAATTTAAAATTTTATAATTAGATATAAAAATAAATTTTAAAATAACCTTAAAAATATTTTACATCAAAATTATATATCACGATAAAATTTAAACGTGCACCCACTTCTGGACTTACGGATGCATCCGTATACCAATTGCACCTTTCAAGATAAAAGAGAGTAGGTGGTAGTTCGGATATAATTTTGCAATGATGAAGGGTATTATAGGGATCATTAGTAAAAAATAAACATACGTTCCCCACATCTCCCCCTTCCATCAACAAGAGAGAGAAAGAAATTGAAGAGAGAGAGAGAGGGGTAAACGAAAAGAAAGGTGGTAGATGCAAATCCCCCAACTCTCTCTCTCTAAAACCTCCGCCACCTTCTCATCTCTTTCTCTCTCTACTACTACTTCCAGGCTTCATGCCCCTGTTCTGAGGAAGCACAAAACCAACCAACCCTTTTCAAAGCTCTCTCTCTCTCTTTCTCTTTCTCTCTCTCTCTTCACAAGCATCCACCCTTCTGGACTCAATACCTCTCTCTCTCTCTCTCTTCACAAGCATCCATCGTTCAGGACTGAGTACCTCTGCCCTTCTTCTGGAGAGAGAGAGAGGTGCCCACTTCAAGGTGGCTTCTAAGAGAGAGAGGGGCTAAAATTAGTAAGAGGTTGCTGAGAGTTAAGAACCCAACATGTTACCAAAACCTGTCTCTCTACTTGATTGACCCTGCTCTTTCCCTCTCCTGTCTCTTACAGACAGACCCTGTTGCAGGTAATTCTTTCTCTCTCTCTTTCGGTGAGGAGCTTTGTTTGCTTGTTTTGGGCTTGTTGCCTCTGTTCATTTATGTTTTTTTACGTAAAAGTCCACCTCTTGCCCTTTTGATGTATGAATATGGGTTCTGTACTTCAGTTCTTGTAACATGGTTATGACTTTATTGAACTGGTTTTGTGGGTTTTGCTCAGCCCCTACTCTTTGTTTCCGTCCACTCGTTAGCATGGGTTTCATGTGAAACTGAGGTATTTTTAGGATTGGGTTGATGTATGTTTCTGCTTTAATGTGTTTCTGCTCATTCTGCGTTTGTTTCCATTTTTTTTTGAACTGTTTTCTTTGAATTCGCTGGGATTTTTTTGTTTAGGTATTTTGGGTGGAACATATGGCCTTTGTTTTGGTCTTTTATTTGTGTGATTGGGGGTTTGATTTGGCAATTTGAATTGCTGGGTTTACTTGTGTACGTCATGGTTTATTTTTGTGATGTTTTTCGAGGTGGCCTTCTATGGATCTTCGGTATCGGTATGTCCGAGTTCAAAGATGTTAACCTGTTGTGTTACTTCTGCCACACCATGAAAATCCGTTACAAAGTGTTGACACAATTTAAGAGAGAGAGAGAGAGAGAGAGAGAGAGAGAGAGAGAGAGAGAGAGAGTAGTACGTTACGTTACGTACGTAGTACGTACGTACGTTATTAGTTCGTCGTCCTCCGTTCCTTACCGTACCGTACGTACGTAGTAGTAGTACGTAGTACGTAGTACGTTA